TGTGCACAGTCAGACAACGATAACTGGTAGAGCTGGGTTGGTGACACGTGTGTGTATTCTCAGGACTCAGGAGGCAGAGGCAGGAAGATGATCACAGGTTTGAGGCCACCCTGGTCTACACATCAAGTTCCAGGCCAGCCAGAGTGACATATTGAGTGAGACTCTATCCTAAAACAAATAAGCAAGTCAGCCTGAACTCAAGCCAGCCTCTACACTTAACCTCCAATCCACTCTCCTTCGTGATGAAAGTCAAGTACTGAACGGCACTTGAACGGCCACAGGAAGCAAGCTCCAGATTTTAAAGAGGTATACCCAAATGCTGGAAGGAAAGAAATACAATAAATACCCGTCATAAAATGACTACAAAATAGTCTCAGGAAGGCTAATGTGCAAATAAGCTGAAGTTTATGAAAAATGCAAAGCAAAATGAGGCTGTACTTGCAGCAGAAATCTCTTCATGTTTGTTATGGCATATACAATTCTTTTAAATGAAAACAGAGTAGACAGGTCAAAAAACAGGAAGAAGACAATCATATCCCCACCACAATTACTAACAATCTGGTGTATTTCCTTCCAAAACTGTTAATGCATAATCCTATAGTCTAAATGTATCCCCAAACTCATGTTTTGGAAACTTGTTCCCCAATACCACAGAGGTGGAACCATTTGGGAGGTGTTCAGGTCACACTGGCACCCATGATTGGAGTCACACCGTGATAAAAGGTGACTTCAGCAGCAGGCCCATTTGCACCCTTTTACCTTGCACCCTTGCCATGTGAGAACATAGCACAAGATCCTCACCAGATGTCAGTACATGGATTTTGGACTGTCTGATCTCCAGATTTGTGAGAAGAGTTTCTGTCCTTTAGAGATTAGTCTCAGGTAAAGAAGTTTCTGCCTCAACCACATTTCTCCTCTCAGTTTTGCACCATGATCCAAAAACAGAAAATGAAAGATTCCAAAAATAATTCCAAAGTTTCAAATGTCTTTCTGAATAGCCTAAGAAAGCCTCAGTACCCGACTGCCTCCTGCTCCAAACACAAATCACCTTTATGCATGCTAGGTCACTCAATGGCCATCTAGTGCTCATCCATCACTGGATGGCAGTACTGGACACAGGGTCAGTGCTGTCTGTGTCTTCAAGCATCCACTGGGAACTTGAAGCACATCTCTCACATAAAGCAAAGAAGTCTTTAGAATGGACTAAGACAAAAACACAGACAGACCTTTCCCCTAAGATAAGAAACACAGACTCAAAAGCTATCGGTTTCTATAATGTGCACATACCATTCCAAAACAGATCATGTGTACCATTGTTCACATTCCTTTTTACTAACTGGTGAGTGTCTACTACGTAAATGTCTATAGTTTCTCCAATCAACTCCTGATGAAGACATATTAAGCTTCTCCTACTCTTATAATAACCAACAATGACGCATTCGGTATCTTTGTAGGCACATCTAGTTGTATCTTATGGAACTGCTGGGTCAACACTTAACTTGACAGAATACTATGAGATTTCCTCTTAGTAACTGACCATTTAAGTGAATAGATGCCATGTGTACTTCTCTATCACTTACAGGCATCTATATCTTCTGATGGGCCTTTGGCTTTCTCAGAAGAGTCCCCTTGATCCAAGCCTGTTATATTCCCTTCCCCTGTCCCAACACCACAGTTTTAAACTAATACACTGAAATAGATTACTGAGAACTACTTAATTATGTAAAGTGCCCTATTAGACCTTTCTCAAAATTTATCACATGAACTATAAAGTTTTTAGGTTAAAAAAAAAAAAAAACACCAGAATTTTAATTAGAACTATACTAGCTGGGCATGATGGCACACACCTTTAATCCCAGAACCTGGGAGGCAGAAGCAGGTGGATCTCTGAGTCAGAGGCCAGCCTGGTCTACAGAATGAGTTCTAGGACAGCCAGAGCTACACAGAGAAACCCTGTCTCAAAAAGAAAAGAAAAGAAAAAAAAAAAAAACTATACTAAATACACAAACTGTCTCATGGATTATATAAATATCTTTATGATGGTAAGTTTACTCCCACCTAGCAATATACTGCATTCCAACATTCATTCAATGTTCTGTAAAATTTCACTGTTAAGTTTCATATAGATTTAAATTTTAAATTTTTGTTTCAAAATTGGGAATAGAGTTTAGCAGTGAAACACACACTTAGCCAATGTGAGGCCGTGGGTTAAATTCACAGCACTAACAGGATATTTCAGAGGATGAAGATCTTAATAAATATTAGACTCAAACAGCCACTGTGATATAAAAAGTCTGAAAGGATGAGTACTTCATAACAATGAGATTTCCCAGATAGAACCAATGAGTGGTCTGTACAGTCATTCCATAACAAGCCCACTTATGACTTAACACAAGAAGACACCGAGTCCCAGCGGCATCAACGGTGATAACGTGTTTTAGACTGAAGGCAAGAACTCATGGTATCCACACTACCAAATGAACAAAGCAGACCAAGCAACTGCATTTGGGTTCTGACTCTTACTTTGCTTACTACTACCCTGCAGCTCCTGTAATCTTACAGTGTCAATGCGCAAGCTCAAGCTTAGGAACCAAATATGAACACTTGCTGGTAGCCACTGTGAGTACGCAGAAAAGCCCTGTTCTCAGCTCTAACAGTACATTACAGTGTAGCTTCCATACACAGTAAGGCAGCTCCATTCTTACTTTGCTTTTTCACTGATGGGAAGGGAGCCAGGAAAATAAAAAGAATTAAATTTAGTTGCAACAGAAAATGGGTTTAAATCTTGTGGCTAGAATAAGATTTAACTTGGTCTCCAGTTGAAATCACCAAAACTTTTTCAGATCATAAAGCATCTACAGAAAATAAAAGGTTTGCTCAAAAAAAATGTACAAGAAAGATGTTATTTTGTTTTGTGAAAAATAAAGAGTATGAGGATTTTCCCATGACCTAAGGCACAAAACACAGAAGGGCCAGATATAGTGTGGTGTGTGGGGAAAAGCAGGAACAGAGGATGGTGCAGAAAAGACTTGAGATTAATCCCAAGTGGAAGCACCTGCCGGCGGAGAGAGAGTTAATGCACAGCAGGGCAAGAGGGTATGAAATTATCAGAGGGAGCTCCTCAAGCCCCAGAGGTTCACGTACTTCAGCAGAGTCCATATTGGGGAAAAAACACCTAGAAAAAGAGCTCAGAAAAAGGCACAGAGGTAGAAAGCTGTGCTGTTAGCAGACTGGAGAAGAGGAAGGAGAAGATCAGGATGGCCAAAGCCAGAAAACTAAACTGGCTAAAAACAAACCAGATACTGACAGACTCCCTATGTGTACTTCCTCTTTTTGTCTGGGGAAAAACACTACCATGGTTGACCATGCCCACAGCTTACAAGCACCAAGGTCAGGATCAAACTGTGGACCCATAATTTTACTAATGACACATGGCTGAGGCACCGCACCAATTTCCCCTTTTTCCCTGAGACAGCTTCTCTCCTTACGTAGCTGGTGTTAGTTGCTTTTCTGTTGCTGTGATAAAAATACCATGACCAAAAAAGCAACTTATGAAAGAAAGAGTTTGCTTTGGTTTATGGTTCTGGGGACAGAGTCCATTCCGGCAGGGAGGGGTGTGCTTTAAGTGGCAGGCACGACAGCAGAAGCAGCAAGCTGAGAGATCACATCTTAAACTGCAAGCAAGAACTGGAAGTTGAGGAGGTTGTGTAATCTCAAAGCCTACCCCTGGTGACCTACTTCCTCCAGCAAAGCCACATCTCCCGAAGCTCCCCAAACAGCTTCAACAACTGGGAACCAAGTGCTCAAATACCACAAGCTATGGGGGACATTTCTCAGTGCATCCAGCAGCACCCAAAGAGCCTCAGCTCTCAGCAGATGGCCTGCTCCTGAAACTCTGTTGGAGTAGATTCTAAGATCCTGCTATACTTTGAGCAAAGTATTGGCTGTGGCTCAATGTGGACTTCCTGAATTCTGAATTTAATCTAATTAGGGCAGGGCAACTATAAAAGTTAGTCACCCTGTGGAGGCATATGAGAACAGCTGTCTGCCACAATTATGTTTTTACTTAAGGCCTGCTTATACGAACGTCTCAGTGGGAGGCAGGTACTTTGTTCCCTAATGAGGCATCCCCTATGTCAGTCCATATAGTCCTCCAGCTCCAGTGTCCACTTTAATCCATGAGTAAAAACATCAGGAGCAAGGACGTGCAGTTACAATTCAGTTTCAGCCGACTATTCTGAATCTCAGGCAGAAAATAAGATTTTAGTCTAACAGTTTTAAGACGTAAGAGGAGAAACCAGGAAGAACAGCTTCCCTAGGAGGCCCCAAACAGATAGGCTGGAATAAATGGAGAATGTTAGGTTAAACTGAGCCACTGCCCAGCAGTGACAGCTACAGATCTCGCACTCTGAGTACCCGTGGTCTTCACCAGCTCATTTTTAACAGATATCCCAAGTGCTTTAAGAAACCTTTCTTTAGAGCAACATTAAGATTCACACACTGGGCCTGGAAGATGGCTTAGCAGTAAAGGCACTTGTTGCCAAGCCAGATCAACTGAGTCCAATTCACAGCACCCACAAGGCAGAGACAATAGATAAGATTCCAGAGGGGCTGTCCTTTGACCTCTACAATGGAACTGTGACACACACAAACCCATACAAACACACAAAATAAATAAACATTTTTTTTTAAGATTTGTACACACCAGTCATATAAATGAAATTCTTCCATAACTTAAAAAAAAAAACAACAAACAAACAAACTTAGAGAGTGATTTAGGAATAAGCATTCCCAATGTTTATAAAATTAAATTCCACCACAAATAATTTAAAAAGGCACGTAACTTTTAATGGGCAATAACAGAAACTACCTCATGTAAACCTGTTTATTTAGAAGGCTATACCAACAAGACTGTTGTTGTTTTTAACAATATCCAAGAAAATGAGATAAAGTGTTAGTAAGTACATTACATGTATACAACTACAAAAGAAATTGCTTACCTGTAATACAAATTTCTGATCTATGTATTTTTTGGCAATGCTGGGTTGGAATTCTTGGCTTTCCAAAAACCGTATGAAAAATTCATATACAAGCTGCAATGAAAGGATTATAGTTAACTTCAAATTAGAATTCATTGAAAATACTGAAAACTATGGGAAAAAAAAAAAAAACCAAGACACTAAAACTGGGCTTAGTACATTACGTTTAATTATATCAATCCATGAGTCAGTCGTGTGGCCATTCTTCTGACTTACTGTTAGAATTTTTAATGTTTAAAATTAAAAGCAATAGCCAGAAAAACAAATAAAAATCCATATTCTCATCACTTATAGAGAACACCACTCTTAAAATTCTGTTTCTGTCTTTCCATCAGTGACTGTCTGTCTCTCTCTCTCAGGTCACCTTACACCTTGAATAGCTGAGCTACCCTGTTAGCCTCACAGTTAACATTTTATGTCCACCCCTCCCTCTGGAACATGCACCTGTACCATGTATAAATCTTTGTATATCTTGAGACTGTTTGCCATCCAGACAATACATTATAAATAATCTGTGTCAACAGTATCCAAACCATCATTTTCAGGAAATAAGCCATTACTCTTACTATACAGCAAATGCTACTGTTGATAATTAAGCAGTCCTCTATGCAGGCACTTACAGAGTTGCTATAGTGTTTCTCTAGCAAAGCACTCCACAGTTCATATCATACAGAATATACACTTTTCCAACTACACAAACATACACAGAAGAAAACATAAAAAGTTAAAAAAATGGATTGTAATGCAGAATCTGAAATGATACCAATGAACTATCCAACTACCCACAATCTGGATGAACCTTGATCGTGTGTGTTCCTAACATGAGTTATTTTCCAGTTGGGAAATATTGGCTCATTGGCTCATGTAGACTTTTCAAATATTGACACATTCCATTTCCCAGAATCTTTAAAAAAAAAAAAAAATCACATTTTTATTTTCTCCCAAGAACAGTCTTTAAATTTGGGGAGGCAGAAAAGGTTGGTATATAACAGATATACACTGTAAGATAGATATATGCTACATAACAGACATATAACATAAGACAGACAGGCTATATAATACCCTATAACACAGATATGCTATATAAGGCTATATAACATTATAAGACAAATACAGACTTTGTAAAGTTCAAATTCTAACGTACGCTTCTAATATCCAAATTTTATCAGTGGTACGAATTATTATCAATTGGCCTTTGTTGTTTTAGAGAAATATCAGCCAAATACCTCGGTCTTTAACAACCAGTTTGTTGTTTTGTCAAGTGCAAATGATGTCTTGTGAAAAGGCGGCTGCCATTCAAAGCAACTGCACAGCATCCTTCCACAGGGCCATCCCTGCACTGCTGCAATAATATGATTTATGCACACTTCTCACGTCCCCATGCACAATATTTTTAAATGTGTGCTCAGGGCTCCCAATTTATTAATGGAATCAGTCACTTTGAATGCTCTTCAGACACTCCTTTAAGTGAAATGGGCAACTTTAAATTTCAGGTGCCGGCAGGGAGTACGACCGGGTACTTGGCCAGTCTGACACTTGTCCTTATTGGCATTAAGTCAACAGCATTTTTAACACCACTGTTAGCCCAAGTGGTGGAACACACCTTTAATCCTCTGTGAGTTCTGGGGCAGCCTGGGCTACACGGTGAGTTCCAGGATAGCTAGAGCTACACAGTGAGACCCTGTCTCAAAAAACCAAAAACCAAAACAACAACAACAAAACCCACCACTGTTTTGTATGATGAATTCTAAAACAGCACAATGACTAGTCAACATAGGGACAAGGGCAAATAACACAGAACTCTGATAAAAGAAGTAACAGGGGCCAGTGGAATGGCTTAACAAGTAAAGGTGCTTGCTGCCAAGCCTAAAGAGCTGAGTTCGAGTTCCAGATCACAGAAGGTGGAGAGAAAGAAGCGGCTTCCAAAAGTTGTCTTCTGACCCCTCTTCTGACCCCAGCACACGCACACTCATACACACATGCTCATGCTCACAAACAAATAAATAAATGTAATTAAAAACTTTCATTAAAATAGTGTTAGCCTTGGAGGCCACTGAAAAACCAACTGAGGGTCCTATAAAGGTCCAGAGATACTACTAACTTAAATACTGCTCCAGAATCTGATAACCTCTTAAATTTGGCATTACCATTTGCATTTTTTAATGCGTACGTCGTATGTGTATGTGAGTGGAGGGCAACTTGTGGAATTAGTTCTCTCCTTTCGCCATATGGGTTCTGGGAATGGAACTTGGGGTGTAACTGTGCCTGCTGAGCCACCTCGCTGTCCACACCCCCATTAGCACTTATTGTTTTTATAAAGCTGCTGTGGTATGGTGCTCTGTGCCTGTAATCTCAGCTATGCAGGAAGCTGAGGCAGGTCTAGAAGAAGTTCTAGATGTGGACCAGGTAACACAGAGCCACCTCATGTCAAAAAGGGGAACAGGAGGCCCCAACTCACAAAACTATGTGGGTTTTTTTTCCTCTCTTACAAACTTTCTAAATGGGCGGGGTGGGGGAGTGGCATCTTTCCCAGTGATGTGTAAAGGGTTTGGGGGTTCTGGTCACAATACGGCTTAACACACCACTGTTCTCTTTCAACATACTCATTTGCCAACTCTTGTAAAAATTCCAGAGTTACCTAACAGACCCCTTGTCCTGAATTCCACACAAACAAAGAGATCCATCTCCTAGGCCTGACTTGGCCATCAGGCTTTCCACCTGGACTGGCAATTTGCTTTCTCTATTCTGGTCCCTTGAAAGAAGTTGTACTTAAAGCAACTTGGTGGAAACACTTCAGACACATTTAGAAATAAGCACAAATTTCTTCTGCACTTAAGAAACAAACTGTGGCGCTCGGCTCTCACCGCTTTGGCGGCGGTGCGGGGTGTGGGCCCAAGCTGCAGCTTGTAATGATTGATAATAAAAAGAACCTCATGTATTTACAGAGTCTGTTTATTCCTGGTCTTTTGGGGTTTGTGAACTGGGCAGGACATTTTGGGGGCTCGTCCTGGGACCCCAAGACTCCAGGAACCTGACCAGGAGGTTTTTATGCCAGCAAAGCAGTCTCTCATCTTCTGTGCCCAGCTGGACAGCCTCTGCTCATGATGTTACAAGACCACAGGAGCCAGGGACACTGCCTAGATTCTCACCTGTTTGACTCTGTTCCAGGATCAGCTATGAACTACAAGCTGAAATCTGGACTTCCTGGAACCTGATATGATTGCTCCCTGCCTCTTTGGGTGGATCAACTAACCAGATGCTTGTGACTGCCCCATTGCCCAGCCTTTGACTGGCATTTCAGCCTCCCTAGCCCCTGATGCCAACAGTCCAATGGTCAGAACTGAAGAAGCTCCAGAAGATGGATCTTCGCCCAAATCCCACCTAGCAGGCTGAAATGCTAAGTCAAAAGGGGCTGGCTCCCTGGCATTAGCTATTATCTTAGGCATCTGCTTAGCTGAAATGGAAACTAATATTGCAGCAACTGGGTTAAAAGCCTAGAGAGACACTAGAGAAAAAAAGGATAACAGTTCTCTTTGGCTTACTACCCCTATATCAACCCTGAAGAGACCCCTACTCATTTTGGTTTTTATCTTTGGGCCTTGTATTTTAAATTGCTTGATGGTTTTCATAAAGAAATGCTTGAGAGCAATACACTAATGGTACTCAGATCCCATTATAAAAAGGTAAATCTATAGGATACAAGGGGTCATATCTGGAAGACCCAAGGTTGGGTCTTCAAATGATCATGGGAAAGGGGGAAATGAGAGACCAAAAGATTAAAAATCAGCTATTATTAATTAAGGCCTGAACTAGGTGGGTGGAGAGGTCCAGTAATGCCCTGAGGGGAAGGACCGCCTTACTGCATTCTTTCCCCACCCACTAGAGATACAGTTGCTAGGAAATTGACCCATCCCCCTAGGGAGGGACACCAGGTCATTAATGGTCTGGGGACCTTCCTATAGCCAATCAATTAAAAATGTAGCATTTTGACCAACAGATGCTTGCCAGGCAGGAATTGCCCCTGCCTTTGGGCATGCTGGGAGGGACCAGAATCTTTAAATCACCCCACTAACCTGAGCACAGGGCGCTCAGCTCTTACCACTTCGGCAGTGGGGGGGGGGTGTGGGCCCAAGCTGCAGCTTGTAATGATTTATAATAAAAAGAACCTCATGTATTTACAAAAAAAAAAAAAAAAAAAAAAGAAAAGAAAAGAAACAAACTGCACTTTGGAGTAAAAAATATCCCTAAAGGGAAAAAATGGGGTGGGAGGATAAATTTGTATTTGAGGTCTCCTTTATGAGGACTCTGAGCAAAAAGCTAACATTCCTGGCTTCAAGTCTCACTGTAAGGCACTGAAAGCAATCCCTAATTGTAAACAGAAGTCCTGCAAAACTGTATTCTACTGGAAAGGCACATCTAATCTCAGGAAATGCATAAATAATAACCATGGCAACTGTGTCATACCAGCTTAAAAAATACCAAAAGAAGTATGAGAAAAATTAAATAATATTCATACAAGTAGAACTCTGATATTACTTGATCACACACCTTGTGGACTTAATATTCTGTTGTCTTTTTCTAAGTATCTCCAAAGTTCCACGCATAAATAGACAGATAGACAAAGGAATTGGGAATTCTGCATGCACCACATCAGTTAGCTGGACAGTAAGAATGGCCAACTACACACTAACCAATTATGTAATTTTCTGATTCTCTAATATTCTCTGACAGTCACACATTGCTTTCTTTTAACATGTGGACCAGAAGAAGAAAAATGTTGCAAATTATTGAATTCACAAAGTAAAAAGATAAAACACGATACTCTGTTTTGGTCATAAAAAGAATTGGCTGGAACAATTAAAAAGCTAACTATTAGACAGGTTTAGTGGCACACAACTCTAGCACTCAGGAAACAGGCGGGAGAATGGGCTTGGGCTACACAGTGAGGTGAAAACTAGCTCCAACTTCATAGTGAAGATGTAGACCAAACACTGGCAGCATGTGCCAAATCCTTGTGTTCATCCCTAGAACTTCAAGGACAAGAAGTCAGATAAAATACTGAACAGTGATATGTGATCATGACATTAATAATCCATCACAAAGAGAAAGCTCTAAGTTATACATTATGGTTTTGTGTGTATGATACATATATTATAAGGGTTGTACATGGAAGTAAAAGAGTCATTTCTCTGGTTCCGTCGTGAGTTCCAGGGAACAAACTTGCATTTTGAGACAGGTGCAGCAAGCACTTTCACATACGGAGCCATTTTGCCAGCCTGAAGAGATTTCTTTCTTTCTTTGTTGGTTTTCTCTGTGTAACAAGCCATGGCTGTCCTGCTTTGTACATTAGGCTGGCCTCAAACTCACAAGAGAGCTGCCTGCCTCTGCTTCCCAAGTGCTGGGAATAAAGGCGTGTGCTACCTCACCTACCCTGAAGAGATTTCTTAAACACTTCCTCGATGATCTTGTCAATTAAAGCCTTCTTGAGAAATGGAAAGGTGACTACTTTGGGTAGTAAGGTTACGCAGAGGAGACTGAGGACTCCACACAGCAGAGAATGAACTCAAGCAAGAGCTCTCCTTCGGGCCTTACCTCTCCTAGAAGGGGCCTGATGTGAGTTTACCTTCTGTTTTTGCTTTTTGTGGTTGTTTTGTCATCTTAGACAGTATCTCACAGAGCCTAACTGGCTCTGAACATATTTTAAGCTGAGGATGACTTGGAGCCTGATTGCCTGGCCTCTTTCTCCCAAGAGCTGGGATCACAGGCATGTGCCATCATGTCTGCTGTTTCTGTGACCTTTAAAAGTTTCCTGCACTTGACCTAAGCTTAGTCAGACAGATTTCCCTCAGAGCTAAGAAAGGACTGCAAGGATTATAGGCTTGAACAAGAAAGATGGCAGCACATAAAGCCAGCCCATTTTATAAATATTCTGACTTTATATCCTAAAGGCAAAAGTCTCATCACCAGTCCTCACTGTTACCACAGCTTCCTATGAGCCAGCAGCTAATATTCCTACCATAAGGGCAGTGAAGCTAGGACATGCATGGTCCACATTAGTGCAATAATTAGGAAAATAACTTGACCTTCTATTTTCTATCATTACACACACTTTTATTTGCAAGTTCTTTATGCTGAAGTCCTAATAACTTTTTAAGTTCAGGAAGATAAATTGAAATATTGTTGAATTTTAGGGGAATTTCGTGTCTAAGAGAGTGCTGAAAATGCTTTGCAAATGACAAGAATGGCCTGTACATCACTGGGATGTACATCACAAGATGTAGGACATTCTTAGAGAGATTATTTCTCTCAGACTAAATGTCAATCCAATTGGCTAGTACCAAGCATTATAAATGAGATACAGCATTTCCTTCCGTGTGTAGCCACTGATAAGCTGCCCTTGCCCCAGTAAATAACCCCTGAAACACGCTTATACAAGCAACCTTAATTCAAGTCAAACATGGGAGCAACTGCCTTAATCCCAGCATTCAGGAAGCAGAGCCAGGAAGGTCTCTGGACTACATAGTAAGATGGGAGAGGGAGGAGAGCAGAGGTAGAGGTCAGGAGTGGGGTGCCTGGCATAGAGAATGGGGGGGAGCTTTTCTGGGAGGGGGTGCTTCTGGGACCCTATAGGAGTGCCTCCATCTGAGACTTCTAGCAGTGGGGGAGGAGGTGAGAGAATATATGGATAGAGGCTGAAGAGGCCACCTTCCACAGCCAGGCAGATACCAACCCACACACAAAACCTTCCATCCAAAATTTGTCCTGCTTACAAGTAATGCAGGGATAAAGATGGAGCAGGGATTGAGGAAATGGCTAAGCAATAACTGGCCCAACTTGAGACCCACCCCACAGGAGAGTGCCAACCTGTCACTACTGATACTCTGCTGTGCTTGCAGAGAGGAGCCTGGCACAACTGCATCTGAGAGGCTTCATCCAGCAGTGGATGGAAACGATGCAGAGACCCACAGCCAGACAATAGGCGGAGCTCCGGGAATCTTGTGAAAGAGTAGGGGGCAGGATTGAAGGAGCTGCTGAAAGAATCAAGGACACCACAAGAAGACCTACAGAGTAAGCTACCCTGAACCCATGGTTGCTCACAGAGACTGGACCATCAACCAAACAGCACACATGGCTAGACTTAGGCCCCCTACACTTTCGTAGCAGATGTGCAGCTTGTTCTTCTTGGGGGTTCCCTACAATTAGAGCAGAGTGTAGGAGGGCTGTCTCTGACTCTGCTGCCTGCCTTTGGATCCCTTCCACATAGCTGGGCTGCCTCATCTGGCCTCAGGGGTAGAGGATGCGCCTGGTCCTGCTGCAACTTGACGTACCAGGGTGGGTTAGTACCCATGGCAGGTAGGGTTCCCCTTCCCTGAGATCAGAGGGTAGGGGAGTAGGGAAGGGAGGGTGAGGATGGGACAGGGAGGAGAGACGAGGGGGGCTACAATCAGGCTGTAAAGTGAATTTTTAAAAATTGAAAAGAAATTTTCAAAAAAATCAGTAGGATACAGACCTGATGAAAAGTTTCAGTGACAGAAGGAGGGAATGCAAGAGTGAGGAGGAGAAATGACCAAAGTTCATTACACTCATGCAAGAAGTTATAAAGAATATTAAAAATATAAAATGTGAAAAAATTCCACCACTCAAAAGGATTCTGATTTGTTCTTCTTTAAGTTTTGTATCACTTAGAAAATATATATGAAAAGCACAATAGGCGTACAAATCTCTTACAGTACAGATAATTCACCAGGCAATTAGAAAAAGGAAACATCTAACCTAAGAAATCAAATAGTGCTTAAACTAACGAAATTTGCCCCAACGTTGGCACCTCTAAGAGGACCACACAGTATCACAGGCTTGAGGACACATTAAAAAAACCAGTCCTACAAAGAGCCCTGTAACCAGAAAAACAACATATAATGTACCCATAGCAATCTCTCGGTGCCAAAAAAGGACAGGCCAAGTTACAAAACTTTATCAAAACTCTCAAATAAGGAAAGCATAGCTCTGGGCCTTTTCAACACACTCCTGAAACGTCAGTGTGTGAACAACCACAGATTCAAGAGTTTCTGCCAGGGGTGAAAACGGACAAGGCTAATTCCTTCTCTACCACCCCTCCTTTTCTTTCCTGTTATTTATCACTGGCCTCTGAAGACATTACAATTCAATGGCAAGATGGCTGTAGGGGGCCAACATTTCAAGTTTCTGTTTTCTCCTTTTGAGGAATGCTGGCATGAAGACAGTAAACAAAAGAATATGGAGCTAAGATGTAGATAAACTGAGGAGGGCCTGGAACTGGGAGCCCTGACACAGGCCTTCACCCCAGCTTTCGCTCTTTCTCTTTCTCACTGCAGTTTGGCTTTGCTCTTCGTGGAAACTAAGGAAATTCACTCCCTGATATTGCAAAGACAGACATATAAAGTCCCGACTTTTTACCTACTTTTAAGAACAAAGTATGTGCTCTGTGACCTAATCACACCCAGCTAATACTAATGTGAAAACAGTTCTGTTCCTATTTGGAAGTTCCCTGGGCAGGACCAAAAGGTTCTGATAAAGGAGTGAGACCTACAGGCTAGACCTGCAACACAGGGACCCAGGGGTAGGGGTGAGGGGTCATGAGAGAGTATTGCACCAAGACGCACTGTTCCCCTCTTCTGGCATGCTTATTATCAAGCATGCTAGTTATCAAGAAACACGAAAAGCATTCTTCAGCTTGCCACTATGTATTCTAATTTGGTCTCTGCCTTCAAGGAATCCCCATACTAACCAGGGAAGAATTAATAGAGTTTTCTTTTATAACATTAAAAAAGTCAAAGTACCTGTAAGTGGGGCCATGATGCCTCGAGGGTAGGTTCATCTTCTTCTGGGTCGAATTCATTGCTGTCACTAGGAGGGAGAGTTCTGAATATATTGCAAGATACCTAAAAATAAACAACAGCAATCAGCTCCAAGTACCTCTAGCAGGTGTTGTGGCAACACAGTGCTTTAGGGAATGCCACTGAACTTAATATAGAGCCTTTCTCCACAGGCTCCAGGCTGGGACCACCTCAGGGTGTGATCTGCCAGTCTCTGGACCGGACTTCCTGTCCTTGCTGACAACCCCCACCCAGCCCCTGTGACTAGGCGCATCCCACCAGAGACTGCTTGTTTACTTACCAGTCAAGAGTGTTTCTAAGAAGTCAGTATACACTAATATACAAATAACTGCTAACAGCTGCAAGCAAATCCTCCCCTTGTTCATTCATAATTTATGCATTTATTGTTGAACTCATAATGAGATCTCTGGCATTCACACGAACAAACAAACAAAAGAATCAAGAAAGAAATTTAAGAACCTTCCTAACATCCTTTAAAATAACTCCTAATCTTGCCCAAAATGGTTTACAAATTACTACGGAAGCCCAGGATGAGCTGTATCTATGTCTAAGTCTCTACAAACTCACCATTTCTTTGCCATGGCAGTATCTTAAATGCTGACTGTTAAAATGGCTACAAGGCTGGAAACTGTTGGAGGATGAAGAGGACTCAGTGTATCTCCTACTCTGTATGCTGTAAGATTGCCATCACTAAACTCTTACTTCTTAAATGCTGTTAATGCTATGCTGGGGTTTCCTCTTTCATTTCAATGCTCTTGCTCCTACTCCATACTCACCTAACCTTGTAAGCAAACACATCCTCTGATCTGAACGCCACAACTAAGAACAACAGGAAAACATATAGAAGGGGAAGAAGAAAAAGGGGACAATACCCAGAAGCCATGGAGGACTTCAGCTACAATGTGCTGCTTTGGGTTTTGTTGTCTTGTTTCACTATGTATCCCTGGCTGCCCTCAAACTCAGAGATCCACCTGCCTGCCTCTGCCTCCAGAGTACTGAGTTTAAAGTACTACTCCTGGCTATGTGCTCTAATTTGAAAAAGGAGGGGAAAAGGCTCTCAGAAATCCCATAGATGGGTGTGTTTATTCGTTCAAGCACATACCTGTATGTGTATACACTATTCTAGGCACTGAGAAAATAACAGTAAACAAAGAAGAGAAAGCCCATCCCTTCATAAAAATTCTATTTTGGTTAAAGCTGCAATATCCTCATTTCCCCGTTATGAACACTCAACTCAGATATGCAAGCTGTGAAAAAGTGATTGAATTTTATTTGAAGTGCAACAGGAAGTCATTAATGGATTGCATACAGGAAGCCACATGACTTGATTTTTCCTTCTAAATCAGTCCACTAGCTTCAGAGAGTTGAAGTAGTATGGCAACAACAGAGGCTGCTCAGACTAGGGGGTAGCAGAGAAAACAGGATGTGTGGAGAGACAGACAGACTGTCTGGTAAAAAGACTCAGAGGTCCAACTGAAGATATACTAAGGGCAGTAAGACATGTGAACCTGGCCTTGTGAACCAGACAGTTTCGACTGGAGACATATAAAAACTTGTGTGTTTAGATACTCAGTGCCGTGGAATTACTGGATCCCTTTAGAAAGGGTTTTGTGCACCCCAACATTTAGAAATGAAGTCGACCAAGAAGTGCAAATTTAAAGCAAGAGTGGAAAAACAAATTAGAGGCAGGGGTCTCTGAGCTAGAGGAGGAAACTAATAAGAAAGAGAACAATAGCAGGAAATGCTGCTGAGAGGTTGAAAAAGATGTGCCCAGAGCAGACAGGTAGCACAGAAGTGTATGCTAGCATAGTTCCAATGAAGCCCCGGGAACAAAAGCCCCTGGAACAGAAGCCCAGGAACTCAGCTGCTAGGTTACAGTTAGTATCCAGCAGAGTTACAGAGGAACCCAGGATGTCGGGGTCTCCCCAGTGTTCTAGATGGTAGGCTAATAACATTCTGAACTTTAACTCAAATAGCAGGGGGAAATACTAGGATATATTTTTTGTTATGGGTAATTTTCTCTTCTAGAAATTATGAGCTATTGTATTTAAGAAGAAACTAGTAAGTTAGAAACTAGTGACTTGGCAGGCTTGGTGGCACATCCCAGCACTCAGGGAGGTAGAGGCAGGCGGATCTCTGTGAGTTCCAAGGCCAGTCTGGTCTACAAAGTCCAGGACAGCCAAGGGTTTCTACACAGAGAAACACTGTCTTGAAAAAGAAAAAAAGAAAAAGAACTAGTGACTTTTTAGATACCTTATATATCTAGACTCTCTTCAATTAGCCAACCATATTCCAATTTAAAAGGTCCTTTCCTTTACCCAACTTGAATCATTGCAAGAGTTTTTCTTTTTTCCAAAATCACATTTTCATCTAAACTAAGTCCTTATGTTTAATATGCTTGGGGAGAGTGCGGGGGAAGAAGCTTTACAACTTTATTTACCACTCATCAGTTCTCATCTGTGCTGACTCAATTTTTTTCTCTCTAACACTCAAGTTAGGAAAGAGAAGAAAACTATTCTACACAATACCTGAGTAGACACTGGAACTTGTACGTAGTCTGGGACATGGCAACTCCCTTACAAGGCCCATCACTTGCTGCTGCAGCCATCTGTTTTTTGCGCACTCTCTCTCTCCCCCCAGTCATAAGAACTAAAAAAGTGTACTACACTTGTGTTCCTAAGACCTACAAGGAACTCAACAGGCAAAAAATATATATATATAAAATTATAGGATATGTTTCTACTTTAACCAAATTTCAATTTAAGTTTTCCAGGTGATTTAAATACATGCAGATTATTTAGAAGAACATTAATGACTGCACATTGTTCAAAGTCTCTGGTTTGGTCAAAGTTGCATTTTCTGCTACCACATTAAAAAAAAAAAGTTATACAGTAATTTCTTCAATGTTTATTGGTTTACTTCTACATTTTCTCCAGAGGAGTTAGGTGGTCTGAATAAATAGCTTTTCAGCAAAGGGAAAGAGTAGCTGTGACTGGCCAGGCCTTTGGCCCAAGGTGGAATTCAGTATGTATTTACAAGATGCCATGGATTCTAAGAAACCAATCTAAGAGGAGGCTGAAAGGGCTTCATAAAGCTTTCATCTGTAACATTCTGTTCAGTTAATGAGAAACATATATCAATTCTGCGGACAGTGTGAAACTCTAAATACTATGGCTATAGGAAAACACGAAAATGAAAAAAAAAAAACAGTTTCTAATAAGGATTTAATGCTTACTAACTGCACCACTGTAGCTACAGGAATGAAAACAGGTAATGAAAATACTGCCATCAAGAGAGTTGAAAAGCAAAACCTGAAACGAATTCAGGACTATATAAGTGGACAGTTTAAGTACACAGTTGAGATCCACAACTACTGAACCTCAAGTCAACTCATTCCTGGGTGGGGAGCAGAGGTCGGGGGTTGGTCTGGTGCTATGTATTCTAATGTTAATTATTTTGCTCCCTGGGGTCTGCTTACTGTCTTTTACAAGCTGACACTCACACATCCAAAATGATGCTTCTAATCCTTGCCTCCGAATTATCCCTGATTGGCAGAATAAATGAGAATAAACCTGGGTAGGACAGAAGAGAAGTAGGCGGAGCCAAAGTTCAAGGGCTTGGAGAGAGGGATCACAAGAAGGGAAGTAACCCATTTTCCACAACAGGTCACCTTTAAATCACTTGATTTATCTGCAAGTCTGTATGTGGGGACTTTTTCCCAATGTGGGGAAAGGACACCTGATATCCCCCACCCAAAAACCGAGAAAGTCCCCTACTCCAGATCCTAAACTTGCTGCCATGAAAGCACTCATCACCCTGGCAGTGACTGGCTTACAGTCCAGCTGACAGTTGCCGCATGTGTGCACAAGTAGATCATGACCACCAGAGACCACCAGGATCATGCTCAACCACAGAGCAGTTCTATAATGAGTATGTGCCTAAATAAAAGTGAATTTATGCATTTAAAACGCTGAAAACAAACTCTCTCCATATTAAAATATAGGAGGCACTAGAAGCATTAGTAAGCCCTCTATTTTATTAATTCAGAAATAAATTATCAAAAATGAACAACAAACTTTCAATATATATGCTGAAATATGAGCACTTGCTCTTGAAGAGGAACGAGGTCTGAGTCCAGGCACCAACACAGCGGCTCACAGCCATCCATCACTCCAATTCTATGAGTTCTAACACCCTCTTCTGGCCTTTGCAGGCATCGCCTATGCATGCAGTGCACATACATGTAGGCAGGCAAAACACTCATATAAAATAAAATAAGCAAATCGAAGTACACCAGGCTTTCTCAGCTATTTTAACTTCTGCTGTTATGAAGGAAAGTTATAAGATATGTCTTTAAAGAAATCTAACTCATTTTTATCCCAAAGACATAATAAATACTGAATACTGTCATACAACTATACAGGCTTGAAAACACTGGCCTGACCTTTAACCTCCAAAGAGTAGCCATAAAGACAGGAAAGGAACCAAAGCTAAGGAAAGGAAGGAAGCAACCCTCTGAAAGGGAGTAAAAACAAGGATTAAACAGCAGAGCTTGGGAAATCTGAACCTGAGCAGTTCTTACCCAGACTCTTCCCTTTATACTTTATAGCACAGAAACTGAGTGAACTGAGTACGGAGGTCTGCAAGGTAACAACCAAGAGTCCAGAGCACATCGTAGTTATTATTATTCCTTCCCTGATACTCTCCCCTCCCCACTCACAGACCACCCTGGAGACCAATGGTGGGCCTGGCTTATTCCTTTCCCTTCCTCTATTACATTTTCTCACTTTCATTAGTCTCATTTTCTCATCTCACCTGCCCATCATCTAGCTCCTTCTTGGGTTTCTGGCCTATCAGTAACACTCCAAAGCAATCACAGGCACCAGCATCCCTGCCTGAAGTCCCCACTCTTGGCTCAGGTCCTTTGCGTCAAGCATTTTCAAGCCTCTCCACTCTAATGCTGCTTTCCTTAAATCCCTTGTTTGCTCTCCTGCTCACATGCTGAGCCCCTCAAGGACTCCTTACCAGGTTCTGATAGCCTGGCA